CTTCTATTTGTCTATACAAGAACGCCTTTTAGGCTGTTAATACGATTTCAACGACAGCATTTTCTGCGAGGTTGTACTTAGTCTTTAGATAAGGCACAATAATTGCCAATACTGCTATGAGCTCTCTCCTGCTTCAGAATAGCTGCCCTTCTGGTAAAAATGGGTGCGGTATCTACAATAACATTATGTAGTTGGAGAAGCATAAGCTCACTCTTCTGCTCAACATTACGAAGTCCACGTCCTAGCTCGTCCCTTGGCAGGTACAGCCTTTCTAAGCATGCAGGTTGCTTGTGAATTCTGTATTCGATTAGTAACTGTCTGATATCGTAGTGTATAGCCTTGAAGTCTTCTGGCTCCAGCTTGAGCACCCTGACGTAATCATTTATTAGGCTTATGGCGTGCTCATTCAGAGCTTTGATAAAGTTTTTGTCATTTAGAGCAGTTTTGGCTAACTGCTCCATTCTCACTAAAATCTCTGCATGGACTTTATCGTAGCTTTCTTGATCAGAGCGCTAGTCCCCTCTTCCATTAATCCAAATTAATCCAATGTATTTATACCCGCGAGCTCCTTCCAAAAGTACCGTCTTATCAGCGTATATCTCAAGCTTGAGATCACCCACAAATAATAAATGGTTCGTTGCATGAATTTTTTGATCGATGGAAACCGCCACATTGGGTATCTGCTTTTGAGCCTACGGCTCAACGGGTTCATGCATAAAACGAACAGCAGCGGAGAAAGACTGTCACCTTGGAGGATTCCCCGCTTAATTTTTTCTCCATTGCTTTTCAATGTAACCGACCATCTGGAGGGGATGCTTCTCAAAAACCAGCTGATCCACGATGGCATGTTAAGCCTTTCATCACACTTAATTAAGTAGTTGTACTAACTGAATTAACGCTTTTCTAACGTCATACCACGTGGTAAATTACTGGTTTTCATCCTCGGCATACCGCCAGGTTCAAAAGTGCCTGCTCTTTTGCACCTTGAATCTTTTAACAGTTCTTAATTGGTTGTCTGCAAGTAGTTTTCTCGTGGGAATTTCTAATTGTGTGACTTTTATCACACATTTCATTGTCTACTTGTAAAGGTTTGACATGCAGGTTATTGGCCTGAAGTCACTACCTTTGTTTGGAACATCTTTAGAATCAGATACGTCGTGCCTTTGTAGAACGATAGGTTTTGTTCCTCCCCATCCAAGCAGATCCGCATAGTTATTTTGTACAGATCTGGATGTAAGGAGGTGCACTTCTTAATGAAGAAGTTGTAAATTCCATCAGGGCCTGCCGCCTTCAGCTAGGCAAGTAGGAAATATCTTGCCAAATTCGACTTCAGATGGGAAAGTATGTCGCATTTTATGATCTAGAACGAATTTTTCTAGATATTCATGAGCATTTTCTCTCACCTTTTAACTGCACATCGTGGCCCAGAGCTCTCTGATTTCTTCTGTTTCTACATTCTGGCTAAAAGACTCTTCCTTGGTTACTTTCCTATAAAACCGCCTCTTGAACAGCTTAAATCAGGCATTTTGGATTTTGAATGCGGGATTTATAACTTTTTAATTTACTTTCATGTATTTCGTTGTCTTTCCTAAAAATTGCTTTTGCGAACGTAGACACCTGCACACAATTTTCTTGCCTTTTCCATTCTTGAATGCTAATCACACACAAACTTCTCGCAAAATGAGGGAACGAAACTAGGACCATCCCCTTCTCGGCATCCTCCGAAACGGTCAAGAACCGCCTTCAACACTTCACCTGGCCAGCTGCTTTGAGGAACCTCGATTCCTCGAATGATATTTCAAGTGTTACGGGTTCCTGGTTCCTGGTTCCGGTAAGCTAGCAGTGGGCTCTTCTATATCTTTCACGGAGCTTTTTGCAGCCTCATTCGCTTTCCCATTGTTTTCTACAATGGTTCCAGATGCGATTTTTCTGCGTTCATCTTCCATTTTCTTTTCGAACTTTTGATAGATATCTTGAGTGCACGACCACACAGCATTCTTCTTTTTGGTTTCGAACTGTTTTTGCAGCATCTCTTCTTCCTCTCTATTCATGCCATGCGTGTCATTCTTCTTTACTTTCTTCCCTTGTTTTCTCTTGTCTTCGTCGCTTCAGACATACTGCGACAAGGGGTTGCGTGAGCATTGTCGTTATGGTCCTTTACTTTTCGCTTTCGCTTTGGAAGTCGCCTGTGATGTGGAAGGTTCTTCAGAGCCATTACATAACTATATGTATACAGATGCAGATATATTATATATTAGATTCTAATTATGAGATTGTGGTTCGAAATGAAGCATTTGAAGATGAAGGACAATATAATAAATTTTTTGTTCTTTCATCCGTAGTTCATTTAAGAATTAATTTTAAGTAATAGCAACTGAGTTTTGACAATGAGTTTAAAAAAATAAGTTAAAATCGATTATTTTCCAGTTAAGCAATATGGGATAAGTATTTTTTGAATTTAAATCTGAGAAAAGAATTGATTAAATTTAATTAATGATTTTTGTTTTTAAATTATCACTTCTATACAAACATATATATTAAAATATACTTAAATTTTGAACAATTTATAGTTTTGAATATAAAATATCATAAAACAATTTAAACAAACGATGAGTAAGCAACGAGAAGAGGGAAAAAAATAACATTCAAACAAACAATTTTGTCTTTTTCTCAGTAAACATTATTGATAAATCATTGCAGAGGAATTTAAAGCTGAATTTCATTTGAAAATTTAGACATTATTGTATTACAAAATGATAATTTTTGTACAACATTTATCGTAATTTAATTTAACTTTTAACAAAATTGTAAAATTATGACAGAGAGATAGTACAAAAAGCGTAATTTACTGTAATTATGTTTAATTTTGCTGTAATAATTAAAAGAGACATCAATAATAGAATAAATTGTTATAATAATAATAATTGAATATATCATTTTAAAATTTCAACTATTAGTCCGATCATTTCGCAGTTCATTTACTGAATCAATTCAGTGCCACAATGCATTACCGATAGAAAAAACTAGTTTCTGTACAAATAATCTTTCTTCTCTTTTTTTGCATGTCTATTCCTCAACTCATAATCATATATAATTTTTTTTTTATTCAAAAAGATGACTTTAGCATTTTAGCAATAAAAGTGCTTTATTAGTAGTAGTAAACGAGAGTTGTAGCTGCTAACTTCTTAAGCCAACAATGAGTCAATTTTTGTTTACTTACAGTTAAATTGTGTAATTTTGTATTTGCTGCAATTGTTTATTTTCTACTTTTTATTGATAATTTTGTTATATTATAATTTCCTTAAACAATAATCTTTCCTTTCTACTTGCTAGCAGTCTATCTTAAACATGCATGAAAGTCAAGTCCGAAATTGAAAGTTATTAAAATTGCTTTTCTTTTTCACATTTATTCAAAGTAATATCATTTTCAATTTTGGCATATTGATATACACCTTTATGAACTATTTATGAATAACTTAATTAGTAAAATGATGTCGGTATTTTGAATAACTCTCTCTTCAAGTATTCAAATTCGTATTTAATGTAACAGCAATGAAGTAAAAATGCAGCTAGTCTCTACTTTATTGTTTTAATAGAATATTTTGAAAAATACATTTTTTCACTGTCACACAATTTACTTTCGAAGATTTTTAATGTACTAAATGTTACTTTAATTTTTGTCACTTTTATTTTATCATATTTTAGTATTTAATTAGCGCAGAAAATTTAATTCTAACTGTAATTGCCATCATTTATTGTTCAGTTTATTTCTTCTTTTTTAATTTCTATTTCTACTAACAATGATATTAGCATATTATAGTATATAATTCTGATTAATTAATTAATTAACTAATTCCTTAATAACTTATTTTACTTGCCGTACTGAGCAGATAACTGAGAATTATATGTTTGTATTATTCTAAACTTCATTTTATCTTTCTCAACTTTTGTTGCTTTTACAGTACTTTGTGATCAAAATAAAGTGTTACTTCCCAATCATATAATCAACTGACTGCTTATAATGAATTACTTATAAAAACTAATTGAAGCTAAAAAGTAGCTTGCATATCATTCAGATAGCACTTATTTTCAAAATTTTGTGCATTACTGCTAATTTTGTACCTCAACAAATTTCTAATAGCAAAGCAAATTTTCTACTTTTTCAACTACAACATTTTTGTAGTATTTAAAGCTTTCATAGTTTGAAGTAATGCTAAAGTGGAGATACAAATTCCGTACCAGCTGCACCAGGTAAATAGTTTAGGAATTCAAATTGTCACTGAAAAACCTTTAGAAATAATAAAATTAAGAGTGTGGCGATTCCCTCCAAAAAATTTATATTTACAATTTTTTTTGCGCCACAAAAAGAATTGCCCTCCGTTTGTATTTTTTTTGTTTATAATAATGAGTGAATAAAAATATTAATAACAGAATGATAATAATAACAATAATAATAATAATAATAA